GCTATGACTGTGGGCGACAACGAGATAAAACGACAAGGAAATGGTGTGAAAAATGTGAGAAATTCATGTGCAATGATCACTTGAAAAGTGTTTGCAAAAATTGTTTTTTGTATTTTAAGTTTTTTTCTTTTCTTAGTCTGTTATATTCTCAAGGAATTGTGTGTTTATTTTTAAATTTTTGCTGGATTTCACAATATATTTATTTAACTTTTTATGACGTTTATTTATTTAAAACCTTTCTATACATCAAAATGAAGCACAAAGCTAATAATTAGGTAAGTATATTAATTATAGAATTCTAAAAACAACCAAAGGTCTGTGGGTGACACTGGTCAACCACGCGACTCTCCATGTACATACTAGAGGCGCGACTACCGTAGGGTTAACGATCTGAGTGATTTAATCTAAAAGATGCTCGAATATTCAGTAAGTTGCAATTCATACTCCTTTCCCTGTTTGCTTGTATTTTGTCTTTTTTTTTCAATATCCTAGTTGATTTTAACATCCCAGATATATACGAGATTTTTATATTCTGGTGTTAAAGAGACAAAAGAGTCATTGTTAGACTGTATAGGTCTTACATCACCATTTTACTCATAACTTGAGCATTCCGGTAAACTTCTTCATATTTTCCCTGGGACTAATGATTTGTGACTATCGATAAAGTAATAAGCAAAGTTCTTGCCAGAGCAATTAGCCATCTTAAAGTTGGACTGTTCACTTATTCAAAGAACGTCTGAAGACACAAACGAACAAGAAAGATGTTTTCCATTTGCGTTAATCTATTTATTTAACGTCAAAAATCAGTTAAAAACGACATGTCTATGACAAACTGTGGAAAGAAGTGCAATTTGTGCACCCTTTATAAAACAATGCTGAACATCAGATCACAAAATCAACCATTTGCTTACCAAGGAATGTGAGAAGAATTGCCAACTTATGTAATTAAAACAAACTTACAGTGGACTAGTGCATATTTTTTCGTTTCATAATTCGAAAGTTTGAACATTTCAAAACAACTTTAGTTTTTCTGAAGTTCATACTTGTAATAAATCGTCTGCGATATCTCAATGGCAATGCCACCATTGCCTCTGCTGTATCGGCAAACGGGATGTCCTAAATTTTGGGTCCCGACGGTGGAGGGTTTTCGACACTAGCTACATGGATCTAATTCAACACTGTGTGGAGAACACTCGTGGCTATCTGCCCTGATCGAATAACTCTGATTGTCGTATCAATCATTTGGACATCGTTTCACATGGATTCTCACATCAATCCCTGGCTAATGTTTGAGCAATACTCTAAAAAGCGGACCGAGGACGAGCGATCTTTCCTTCCTCATCCATGTCCCCTTGTCACTCCTTACGCATACACTCTTACTCTGGCATGGAATACATTATCACACATATCAAGAGATCAGCCGGAAGCTTAGGGTTTGCCCCGGATGGGCGGTGTCCCGCTGGAGAGATACCTGGAGTGTAAAATTCCTAAAGATACGTGTAGGCCGTTCCCGGATTTTATCTTCTAGTGCGGGAGGCGCATTGCCATCTCCCGTGATATAACATAAACACACTTATGATAATAAAGGCCGAATGGTTGACACGTCCAAAGTCAATAAATAAATATGCATGTGTTAACGTTAGGTAGTGATAAATGTGTATATATTTTTCGAAATTTTTCGGACCAATTCAAAGACAACAAGTTCTAAATCTCAAAGAAAAAAAAGCTTCAATTTCCAAAAATTTCCCAAGTATATCTCGTCATGTTTTCACTCTTTTGTGAGTAGAGACTAGTTTGTGTGTAAATATGCATAAAAGTTGTCGCTCAAACGATATTTATCAAAAAATCCCACACATTTTCTGTAATGTTGTCTAAATTTGGAGCGTTCCACACTTTTATTTCAATAGTTAGTAACATAGATTGTGCGGGACTTGAAAGAGAATCCTAGTTCCCGAAGCTGAAGGCTTTGTGCGAGTCTCGTGTAAGGGATGGGAATTTCCATAAGACGGTTGTGGCGTGGTTGGTTTCTCACATGCATCCCGTTCGAAGAACAACTTATACACAAACATTCATCCGTCGTCATCATCACCACCATCATTATCCACCTCACATCATCATCCTTACCATCCTTCATGGAGTGAAGATAAGACAAAAAATTACTCTTATCACTTGGCCAGGAAAGCGAGAAGATATTAAGGAGTACGCTCTCTCACTCGTTCGTGCTCGAGAACGAAAGCGGCTCTAGTGAGATTCCTGAACTCGCAATATTATGTGCTTTTCGTTTTATGATTTTTCTTACCGAGGTAGAGTTGATGTTGAGTAATGTCTTCAGTATATCAAAAGCATATAAGTTGATTTTAGAATAATTTTGCCACTTATTTCAAATTTTGGATAATTCGATATTTGTCGGGTTCCCCGTGAAGCTGGAATTAGAAAGAGCCGCGTGTATTATGAATTTGTAAATGTGTACCCAACGCAACCCACCCCACCCATCCCATCCCATTCCATCTCATCGCAGCACCCAGCGCGCTGTGAAGGAAGACGCGGCTCGGAGGTTCGCAGCTGGCGAGGGGCCGCCTGCCAGGCCCCTCCTCACTCGTGCGCCGTGTTTGTACAGTGCGGCTGAGGGAAGCAGGGGCCGAGGGCGAGGGGAGGGCGAGGGCGGGGCGACGGGGAAGTGGGCGGGCGGGGCAATGGGCGGGTGGGCGCGTCGCGGATGTGAGGTTGGAGATGACGAGGCGCGGGGCGCCGCCCTGGGCGACGACGCTTCGCCCCCCGGCCCTGCCTTCGGCTGCGTGGACCTCTTTCATTGACACCACGGGCCTTTCGTTATACCCGCCACGCTGCAGCGGCAAACAAAACGGGGCTTCAAATATCTTGACCCTCTTCACATGCTACCCTATTCGAGCAAAACGGAGCGTAAATAGCACCGTTAAGCATCATTTTCCTGCGTTACAATCATAATCGTAATTAACACTAATACGTTGATGACATTGTGCTGTCGTATATTTTACAAGGACACCACCACCCACTCTGAACACAAATAAAATTAAGCGAGCTGTTGTATGATGAAAGTACATTTCCTTTATCACGTTTTACCTAATATAAGTATAGTTGTGTAAAACAAAAAAAAAGATTTTCCCATAAAGAAAATATCTGGGGGGTCCTCGGTACCACAAAAAGTTTTCTAAGATATGTCTGTCCGACCGAACGTGCGTCTGCATTTGCCCCTAAATATTATCCCCTAAATCGTACACCAGATTTTTTTAAAACCGATATTCCCCGATCAATTTGACTGAATTCCTCACTGAGATCTCGAACCGAAATTATAGGTACTAATTTTTGGAAGAAACCTCTCTGATTAACGGTAAAATTTGAAAACTTCGACTCAAAACCTATATCATTTATTTGAGAAGAAAGTGTATATGTGTATGATGAAGTTCCATTACATATACATGACGTGATAATTTTATAAAATTAAAATTTATATTGTATACAAATTTGTGATTTTGAAGATGTAGTATTATCAACTATTCCTATAGTTTATTAAAGGTAGAAATTCTCCATGAAACAAAAAAAATATACCAAGAAAACATAATGTCCATTTATTTCATCTCTTTGCAGGATTTGAATTTTTAGATACAAAAAAAGTG